AGGCATGGAGACTACATCATCCCAGAGGGTGGGAGAAGGCTTTATAGTTGAGTCCTGAAGGACAAGTTCACCAGGAGCACAAATTCACCAGGACAGAAAGCCGTTAGGGAAAAAGAAAGGCTTGTGCAAATGGCCAGGGTGAGTCTGCTCTGGAACAGTGAGACACTTAGGGGAGCTACTTATGTGGGTGTCAGACTGCAAGCAGGTATAGGCAGGAACCCCATCCTGATGGGCTTTGAGTAGCATGCCAAGGAATTAGGATTTATCCCCAGTGCTAACTGGACAGGCCAGAGGACATAGTCCAATAAGTGTGTTAGTTCACTATGGCATCTATGGAGTGGGTGGGTTGGAAGGAGAGGGAATGAAGCAGGGAAACTGATTAGGAGGACGTTACAGCATCCGAGTGGGAGATTAAGAGAGTCTGAAGAATGACCGTGCCCGTGAGAATGGAGAGAAGGGCTAAGAATACAGTAGACACTCAGGAGGCAACATTAGCAGGACTTTCTTTCCCAAATGCTGTTTCCCCAAAGGTTTTCTTCTTCTTGCTCTCTCTCTGGGTGATTAGTTCCTTAGTGTCCATTGCCATCAATAACTAAGTCTCTAATCCCAACAGCTCTCTTACGATCCAGACTGCAAAGCCAACTAGCTCCCCTTGGATGTCCCATGGACACCTTGAACTCAATATATCCAAAACTGTTCATCCCCATTCCCCTCCCCTCGGCCAACCAGATGATCCAACCCCTGAGCCCTGATCCTCCTCCACTGCTTCACACATCAGAGAACAGCACCACCATTCATGAAACCTCCCAAGCCAAAAACCTGGAACTCCCAAAATTCACTCTGAAGGAGTAAATTTCCTCCTTCAGCCCCATATCTAGTCTGTCACCAAATTCTGCCTCTTTCAGTTACAACTCTTGGACAGGCATTGTTCTAGTTATGTTTTTGGGTGTGTGTGAACTGAGTGTCTGTGTGTTGCGGGGAGGCAGGAATCTAGTTGTCAGTGAGTGGCACTTGCTATATTTGCTTCCATCCACTCATCCACCCATCTATCCATCATTCTTTCATCAGTGACTCAGTGTCTACCCAGCCCCTGGTCATTGGCACTCCTGCCAAGTGGATCTCAGGACAAAGAAAGGACATGACTGCCTAAAGGGGTCCCAGACATGCAGGGAGGCAGGCTGCTGGCAGCTGAGAAAGTCCTAGGAGAGAACCTCCTCCAGTGTGTGAAGAGCTTCGCCAAGTCAGGTCCACTGACTGTGGCGTCAAAGACACAGTGAAAAGCTGGCCTTGGGGTGATGCCATCCGGGAAGGCATGCCAGATCAGATGCCCAGGTGGGTTCAGAGGCCTCCTCTGTACTTTCTCATGATCATCACAAATGGATGTCACTGTGTTGTGACTGGGATCCTCTGGGCAGGGACCAGGTCTAAGTCCCCAGGGTCCAGTACGCAGGGATGTGAGCTGTTTGGAAAGTCCTCCCCAAAGCCAGGATTTCTTCCTTTCTGCCCTGGCCAAACAGTTCCTGTGTCTTGTGCTTCCATATTAGGCCTCCAGAGGTCAGGCAAATCCCAAGTGTTTGGGGCTCAAAGCTGCTAACCCAAGGGAGCCCTCAGCCTACTCTAGCCCCAGTAAATTCCCAGAAGTTCCATATCCACTGTGATCCTGCATCTCTTCCCAAGCCCCAACTCTGTCCTGAGGAACTCTAGAGGCAGAGGCCACTACTCCCCTCCTCATCTGTCACTACCCCTCACCCCCATTCTTCAGGCCTTGCTGCAGAGGATGTGGCCGCTCACCTATAGATCTTACGGTAGGAGAGGTCACACCAGTAGATGCGATTGGTGGCAACTTCCACATCTAGTGCCACGACATTCTTGAGCATGGGGATGAGGCGTGAATAGTTCCGCTTCACCAGGTCGATCCTCCGCACCTCATGCCGGTTGGTGAAGATTAGGGATGGGCTCTTGCCAGCTGCCATGCAGGGAGGTTGAAAGAGAAAGAATCAGTGCAAAAGGCAGGGAGCCTGGAGACCAAGACTCTGCCACTGGCTTGCTGGGCGACACACCCATTTTCCTTAAAATAGTAGTGACAATTCCTACTTTACAGGTTGCAGGAGCAGATGAAATAATGAGTACAGAAATCTGAAGATGTAGAGCACCATGCATAGCAGGAGGATTTTTATTCTTTTTATTAGATACAAACTTCTCCAAAATATTTTATGGCTACCCATTTTCTCCTTAGGTCTGCACTGAAAGCCTTCCACAGTGTGACCCCAAGTTCCCTGTGCAGCCTCATTACTTGACCTTCCAACATAGCTTGATTCAAAGCTACCAGATACCATTACCTAGCCATGGATGGGCTTCCTGCCTCAGGGCCTTTGCTCAGGTGGTCCCTTCCACCTACCATGTATTTCTTTCCAGCAACTACCACCTTCTCTGCTTGGGCCCTACTGCTGTGGTTCAAGAAGGAACTACCTGAGCAAGTAAGTGTCTTAGAATGATAACTAGGGGCTGGGCACAGTGGCTCACACCTGTAATCTCAGCACTTTGGGAGGCTGAGGCTGGCACATCGCTTGAGGCCAGGAGTTTGAGACTAGCCTGGGCAATATGGCAAAATCCCATCTCTAAAAAAAAAAAAAAAAAATTAGCTGGGCATGGTGGCACACACCTGTAGTCCCAGCTACTCAGGAGGCTGAAACAGGAGAGAGGAGAATTGCTTGAGCCCAGGAGGTCAAGGCTGCAGTGAGCCATGATTGTGCCACGCACTCCAGCCTGGGTGAGAGAGACCCTGTCTCAAAGGAAAAAAAAAGATAACTCAGGATAGAAAGTGTTGGAGACATAGCAAGAGATGAGCTTCAGAGATTGGCAGGGGCCAGATCACACAGGGTCCTGTGAGCTGGGTGAGTTTGTTCTCTAACCTGAGCCAATGGCAGAGATGGGACATATATGATATACAGCACAGATTATATATATGCAGTAGAGACAACATGTAACTGCTCATATATACACAAAGCCTGTTTTTTTCTTAGATTTAGGGTTAGATTTTAAGATGATAAACAAGTGACCTAGACTTTCCTGGCTACTCCATATGGGAGGTCACTGTCCCACGGGCCTCTGAGGGCCTAGCACCAGCTCCCACAGGCTGTTTCTAGATGTATTGGGTCACTCTCAGGCACCAACACTGTCTGAGGGGCTGTTCCTAGTAACACCTGCCCCTCAAGCTCCTTGTGCCTCCTTCTCTTGTTTTCCAGCTGACACTTCTGCCAGCCACCAGTCCCTATCACTGTGCATCTTTGCCAAGCTAATGTGCTCCCTGGAGGATGGGACCAGCACAGAGTCATGTAGGGCCTGGGGCTGGTGTGTGACCTGTGTGTAGTGATGGAGACTAATTCAAAGCAGGGTGGGAGTGAGACAGAAGTGTGGTACAAATAGAGAGCATGGAGAATGGGCTGAAGGTGCAGGAAGGGGCAAGGATGAAAGCTGAGTTCCAGGCCAGCTCTGCCACTGACAAGCTGTGATTTCCCTCACACCAAAATGACAGCAATGACAATTCACCTCCCTAAAGGCAGGAGCCAGGTTAAAGGGGCATGTTGGAGTGATTTTAAATGATAGCTGTGACTGTGACAGGAACCCCGTGTGTTTATGATTTGAGATTTTATGTAATTGCACTTGAAATATTCATGTGTGTGGATTTTGTATATGAATGGGTAGTTGCGTGTTGTCTCCAGTGCATGTACATAATCTGTGTCATGTATTAAATGTGTTCTATATGGGGGCAAGAACAGGTTACATGTTATATGTGATATACTAATGTATGTGTTACATATTGTACAGTTTGGGTGGTTTACTTTTTGGGTTTATGGGCTACCTGTCAGTATTATGGCTGCTGTATTGTTATAATTTATATGTTGTATATTATATTTAACTTGCATATGAACTGCAGACTCATATATCCAACTGCCTTCTCAATATCTCTATTTGGACACCTAACCAGTTTTCTTAAACTTAACATGTCCAAAACAGCCTAAGATTACTCCAAACCTGCTTCCCTCACTGTCTTTCCCAAGCCTATACGTAGCAATCTTATTGTTTCAGTTGTTGTAACACTTTTTTTTCCAGATTCCACATTCAATTCATAAGCAAATCCTGTTGGCTGGCCTTTGCACTATATCTGCAGTCTGTCCACTTCTCATTATTCCCGTAGTAATAATGTGGGAATAAGGGTTCAGCCACCATCACCTCGCTTCTGGATTATTGCAATGACCTCTTAAGTGGTTTCCCTGCCTCCTCCCTTGTCCTCTACAGTCTGTTCTCAACACTGCAGTCAGAAAGACCTTCTTAAAATGTCACGCCATGTCCCTTCCCTACTCCGAGCCCTCAATGGCTTCCCCCTAGTTGGAGTGAAATCCAGAGTTGGCTCTTACGATGGTCTAGAAGGCCCTTTGGGCTGCCCCAAGCTACCTCTCTGGCTTCATCTCTTCCTAGTTTCCTTGCTCCAACTGTACCAGCTTCCTTGATCTTCCTTGAACATATTAGGCATGCTCCTGCATTAGGGCTTTTGCAGTTTCTGTCTCTTCAGCCTGAAATGCTTGTTCCTACAGATAACTGCATGGTAGCTCACTCCCCTCACTCCCCACTTTTTTTTTTTTTTAGAAAAGGTCTCACTCTGTCACCCAGGCTGGAGTGCAGTGGCATCATAACTCACTGCAACCCCAAACTCCTGGGCTCAAGAGATCTTCCTGCCTCAGCCTCCTGAGTAGCTTGGGACTATAGGTGCATGGTACTATACCTGGCTAATGTTTAAATTTTTTTAAGATATGGGGTCTTGCTACATTGCCCAGTATTGAACTCCTGGTCTCAAGTGATCTTCCTGCCTAGGCCTCCCAAAGTGTTGGGATTACAAGCGTGAGCCACCACACCTGCCCCCACTTCATCTTCTTTACTCAAATACCTTCTCAGTGAGGGCTTCCCTGACCATTCCATTTAAAACTAGAACCCCCTGCTCACCTGGACTTCCCTAGTCTCATTCTCTACTTTCTATTTCTCCTTAGCCCTTATCGCCATCTGCCATGCACTATATTTTATTTATTTACCTGATTTCTAGCCTGGCTCACCCATTAGAATATAAGTCCCTTGAGGGCAGACAGGGATTTGCATCCATTTTGTTTACTGCTGAATTCCCAGTGTCTACTACAATGTTAGCTGTTCACTATAAACAACTGAATACAATGAATTAATTCTGCTGGCTGAATTGATCAATGTGTAGGTCTGCCCAGGTCGTGCTCTTTGTATAGACTCCCTATGCTGTGTGTGTAGTTTCTGTGTGGTTCAATTTTGTGTCTATATATTCTGCTGTATGAGTGTCATCTTTGTGGGCTGTATTAGGTGGCTCTATACAGTGTCTGTGTGGGTGTTAGTGTGCAGTGCATTGTGTGTGTGATGTACATGTACACTTTTGAGCACTGTACGCGCAACTGTTAGAGTAGGCAGACAGCTGGACGTGAGTAGAAGGGGGAGTCCCTGAGAAAAGGGAAGCCTAGAAAATCTCACATCTAGAGACCACCCAAAACATGCATGCTAGATATGAGCAGAGAGGAGGGGAAATACCTGTGCAGAAAGGAACGCCCTTTAAGATGCCCAGTAACTGCTCACTCTGCAGTTCACCCATCAGAATGTAGCTAGCCGTATGCTGAGGAGGAAGGGGAGGGCAAAGGGGAAATTCCTAAGAAATATGCAGGCCTAATAAGATTTGACTGCTATACAACCTTCCTGGGGTGGTGGTAATGAGTGATGCCGCCATTAGGTAGTATTTGTGCCCAGAGCTGGGCATGCACAGGAGCTAATAGTAAGGGAGGTCCCACAAGCCTGGGTGGAAACTAGGTGAGGAACAGGCAGGGACTGAAAGCAGGAATGGGAAAACTAGACAAACAAAAAGGCAGAGATTTAGGACAGAGACAGGAACTTCAAGAAAAAGACCCAATGCAGAACTCTCAGGGCTGCCACCGGTTCATTCTCTTTCAGCAGCCTGCCCCACTCTGCCTCACCTTTCAGAGTGCACTGTCCCTTTAAAGAAACACGGCTATTGCTGCTGTTCCCAGTTGGGTCAGCCCGCTCCTGTCTTGGACTGTACTCTTATCTCCTTAATAAACGTTTGGCTTATGTTACTAATTGTCTCTTGGCTGAATTCTTTCTCCCAAGCTAGACAAGGGACCGAAGATTCCTGTGCTTCTCAGTAACACAAACTGCCTTCTTGTGTGTGCGCACATGTACACATCCACTCCTCACATGTGGAAGCATGCTGCTTCCTATATCCCTTTCAGAGCTGCCCCTCTGCCCTTGGGGTGTCCGTACCAGCAGCCTTGCAGTTCTTGGTCAGCAGGTCCATCTCATAGCCAGGGTAGCACTCGCACTTAAAATAGCCCTTGTAATTGACACAGATCTGGCTGCAGGCATCTGGGTCCTTGCATTCATCAATGTCTGTGGGGAGGAGCAGGGGTCAGAACTGGCAGGAGGATCTGCTTCTGCTTGGGGGTGTGGGAGAAGGTCTCACCGCCACAGGTCTTCTGGTCCAGGAGCTGGAAGCCTGCTGGGCACGTGCATTCAAAGCCAATCTTGAGGTCAGTGCAGATGTGTGAGCAGCCGCCATTGTTGTGCAGACACTCGTTTAGCCCTGGGGAGGGACATGGACTCCTGAAGGTCCAGGAGCCCAGGAGGAGTGGGGGCAGGGAAGGGGTGGGACCTAGAGCAGAAGCAGAGCCTCGGGCAGTGGGACTCCCACAGAGGCAGGAGGGCTCCACAACCTCACTGAGCCTCAGCCTCATCTACCAGGTGTTCTGGGCAGGAGGTGGCACAGAGAGGGCAGGTCCCTACTCAAGGCCAGACACAGAGACAGGGTAGAGTGGAACCAGAACTCAGGTCCCCGGCCTCCCAGCTGGGGCTCTGTCCACCACCAAGCTGGAGGCAGCTAGGCCTTCCCCAGTGGCCCAAGGTCTTTCCTTTCACAAACATGTTTCTTGCAGTGCCTCCTTCCTTGTGACCTCAGAGTTGAAGGGGCCTGTATGTGTCACATCCAACCCTCAGGATACCCTAAGAATCCCTTCCAAAATGCTCCGCTTAAATATCTCCAACCTCAGGGAGCCCACTTCCCTCCTGAGGCAGCCGGCTCCACTGTGGACCAGCACTGCCTGCTGAGGCTTCTGCTTCTGCTCCCAGCTCTGCTGTGTGGGGTTAGCCAGGGTGCACAGGCTCCCTCAGAGCCTCCTTAAAGCACTGATATCTGGTCTCCTGCCATCTGGGTGCCTTTCTCTGGACTCACTCCATCTGTTGATGTCCCTCTCTGGACAGGGCCCAGAGCTAGTTTGCCACCCAGAAGGAACCTGAACAACACAGGATGCCCCCTAATGTGCTTGTGGTTATTTAAGACTCCTGGGCCTTTTTTTTTTACATGGAGCCATTGCTAAATCAATTCTCTCCTATCATGAACTAATATGATGGGATTTTTCAACTCCTCTCCTCTCAGCACATGTCCCTGTTCCTCCATCTTGTCATGGGCCTGGTCCCAGGATTACCACCTGCTCCAAGAGGTGAAGGGATGCCCGGAGATCATCTGTTCTGGCTCCCCATCCTCCACTCCCTCACTACCTTCTGGCAGGGTCTTAGGGGAGGTCAGGGAGTCCAGGACCAATGCTCTCACAGCATCCCCTGAGCTTTAGAGTCACAGAAAGTTAATTCCACAAGCCAAGGGGAGGTGCCGCACCCCTCTGCCCCCCAGGCTCATGCACTGCCACTCCAGCCAAGCCAAGCAGTGCTGAGCTAAGCCAGCCATGGCCATGCATGTAGCTGGTCTGAGCTGCCCACCCCAGGCCATGCACAGCTATGGGGTGCCCCCACTTCCAGCCTGAGCCATGCTTAGGGAATAACCCCTTTACCCCTGGGCCTCCTCCTGTTTCCCAGGAATGTTGGCGGAACTGAAAGAACAAGACCACAGCAACCCCATGACTGGGAGACCCATGGATGACTCAGCCAGACCCAGCCCTGGGAAGCCCCAGACCTTTGGAGGTGGGCTGAGCCATGGCAGCTCCCACCTCCAGGAATTTTTCAGTCGCTCGGAGCCCTCCCTGACCTCTCCTTTCCTGTGTTATTCCCTGAGCACCATCCAGTCATCTGTCCTCCCACTCACCCACTGCCCCTATCATGCATCCACTCGCCTCCTTCCTCTCCTTTTGCAGGTAGCAGCAACCCAACAATTCTATTTACTGAGCACTTGATGAAGTGGCATGTGTAGGTGGGATGGCCCTGAAAGGGGAAAGGGGAAAGGGGAAAGGAGAGAGCTCAAAGTGACTGGCTTCTGATGAAGGAAGGCACAGTGTCCTCCAGGGCTCAGGTAGGTGAGGGGAAGAGAAAGGAGAGCAGGTCTGCCCCTGTAGCCTTTACCCAAATGCCTGCAGGGAAGTCTCCAGTCCTTCTTCATTCTACCTAGCATGGGTGTGATTCCGCTGGGGAGCCAGGAGAGGAGGGGGATGAGGTAGAGTGGTGCAGAGAGGCCAGAGTAGTATTTGCAGCTTCCTTCCATGGAAGGAAGAAGTGGTGTCACTGCACACACCTACATGCACACACCTGCATGCGCACAACTACATGCACACATACCAGCTTATGTGCAGAGCACAGACAGTCCCATGGACTCCATAAATACATTCACACATACTTGGGGTCACACACATAGATGCATGAATGCAGTTCCCCTGCTTTACTCAGAGAAGAAGACATGAATACAGACACCGGCCTCTCACCAACACAGAGACAGAGGCCACACGCAGACACAAGCTCGTGTGTACATACTCCTCTTTGGTGTGTCATGCAAATGACGGGAGAGAAGAGAGGGTTTAGTAGGATAGTAGTCCCTGGCTACTCCAAGTCTGGGTGTTGGGGGAGCTAGGCTTAGTAGCTCTGGCTTCCCTGTCTCTTTTTCCACAAGTTCCTTCTTCTGGGACTTCTCTTGGCAGGGCCTGGAGGCAGAGGGAGTGTCTGCCTCCTGCCAGCTCAGGTAGAAGCTGAGTCACTTTCATTCAGCTACTCTTCCTTTCACAATCAGTTTTTTAATCTTCAAAAGGGGGAGGAAATATGCTTTTCCTGGGAAGCTCCAGAGGATGAACCTCCTCTAAGCGCCCAGGAGGAAGGTGCTGAGGAAACAGTCTGCCAGGAGGCAGGAGAGGGAGGGACTGACCTAGGCTCTGTCCTCCCAGGGCTTCTCTGTCAAATCTCCCTCAAGCCCTGACCTGGGAACAGT